AAAAAAAAGTGCGCCTTATATGCTGTCAAATACGGTATTTATTTATTTTATATAAGGGAATTTCTTCTTTTACGGGCCGTGTGACTTCAGAACGTAGGCGATCATAGCTCTCCACTTCCTCCTATCCCTGGTAGATTTCAATAAATTTTGTCTTTTTGCTACTTCTCCCAGACCCTGTTCTGCCATCCACTTGATTAAGCCTATTAAATATGTCACACATTACTTTCCTTTGTCCCTCTTTCCCTCTGTTCGCCTTGTGAGTATCAGATTTTCCAAGCCTTCCTTTCTCATTACGTATCCCAGAAATTTCAGCTGCCTCTTCCTGATGTTAAGTATTAGTTTCCTCTTTGTTTGCATCCTCTCGAAAACCTCATCGTTGCTCGCGTTCGGTCCTTAACATCCTTCTGTAGAACTATACCTCTGCTGCCTCAAGTCTCTTCTTCATCTTTGAGAAGACTGTCCAAGATTCTCTGTTGTAAAGGAGGACATATATCATGTAGCAGTTCAGTACTCTTTTCTTTGTTACGAACGAAATCCTCCTGTCTTGTAATACTCTGCATATCTTTTGGAATGCATCTTTGGCCATCCCAATATGTCTTCGGATCTCAGCGTCTCACTTACCGTTCTATTTCAGAACATTTTCAAGATATTTAAATTTCTGCACTTGCTTGATTTTAGTGTCCCCGATCTTTAAATCGCATTTTGGGCTCATCTTTTTGCTGATGACCCTGCATTCTGTCTTCTTGTAGTTTATGCTTAGTCCCTTCTTCTCGCTCTCCTTCGCTTCCTTCTGTTGGAGGTTTTAATTTCCTTTCCGTGCCTGTTATCAGCACTGTGTCATCTGCTTATCTTATGTTGTTAAGACCGTGTCCGTTAACGATGAATCATGGTAGGATTTCCAGTTCTCTCCGACTTGCCTCGTTGTATAAGTTGAATAAATCCGGTGAGAAGATACATCTTTGCCTTACGCCCCTTTCTATTTTTGTATATCTGCTTAACTCAATATTTCTATCTTTATTCAGGCAGTTTGCTACCAGCAGAGGTTTTTAATTATTCTAATGTATTTCCCGACTATGCCAAATTAGAACACCTAAAAGGATTTATTATTATTCGATAGGCGGATGTCACTGTTTTGATGGTACACTCGGAGAGGAAAATTAAAGAACTCTTACTCAACGTAATAAAGGAAAGCTAAAGGTCAAAACTAACTTTCCTAATTATTAACTGTAAAAAAACAGAATCCTCTAAATAATCTATCTTACATATTTAGATGTCTACAATTCGTCCGTGCTTAGAACATTCTGGTGCTTCTGATATATATTTAGAGATTCTTGATGAACTCCAAAGAATCTGCAATGTTATTGGTCCTTACCTAGCATCTAAGCTCCAGTCACATTTCCACGGCCGTAATATAACTTCCCTGTGCCTTTTCTATAAATATGTTCATGGCAATTCTTCTGATTAATTTTCCTCTATGGTAGCTAGACTTTATGAAATTAAGCGCAGTACTAGATTGGCAGCTAGGTCTCACCATTTTAGTTGGAATGGCTAGATGTAACCGTAAATTCCTTACTAAGAATTTCTTTTCTTACACTTCTCGCCTGCGGTACTCTCTTTTGGCTTCTTGTTTTCTAACCAACTTTGATTTTTAAAAGTTTAAATGCAATGTCAATCGTTATCGACTGTCCCCAGTTCCTCTTCTTTTATTCTTCTCGCTCTTTAAGAATTTTTTTTTTTTTTTCTTATTCTTTCACACTGAGTAACCTCTCGTGTCTTAGTTCCTTTATTGCATTGCTTGGGGTGAACGATTAAAAAAAAAGTCATCAAAAGGAACAGTTTGGACATTAAGGATGTCAAAATAAAATAGATACAGAAATTTAACTATGTGGTTAACGTCACAACAGACGACGGAAGTTGTGACACAGAAGTTCGAAGGCGCATTGAAATAATTGAAAGATGCCTTTCAAAAACTAAGTATGAAAAGATATTAAAGATACGATATTTAATCAGGGAAGCTGGTTCGAGATGGCATAACGATTATCGACACGTATAAAACCAAATAAACTTAGAAGAGCAAGAAGCCATTTCTCTTTACGCTGTGAACCTTTGGCAGACAAAATATCTCATCACTAACATCACACTGTAGTTGATGGAGAAGAGAAATAGGTGACACGTGAACATCGAGGAAAATCACTTTCCAATAACTCGCTTACCTTCCAGACATCCGAAATTTGATCGGGCCGAGGACTTTTCAGCACCAACTTGTACAAACGTTTTCTGCTAAAGAGAAAATACTCGATGTTCTTATAGTTCTGAAATTGAGAAATATAGGTTTCGGTTTCGCTCCTGGGCTACTGATGTTGGTTGCTGAAATTTCGTAAGATTTCATTTGATTTTTTACGGCTTATCAACCCTTTCTGAGTTATTTAAAGCCAAAGCATATTTTTGATTATAAGAATAATTCTCTTTTTTTTTACTAGTGAATATTGTATTAACAATTTTCTTCCAGAATAACAGTGATTTTCCAGATCAAAGTCATGCTATTTACCCAATAAGGGATGGATTCATACGGTTCTCGACTATAAGTGAATATAATAAAGCCGAGTAGAATTCGAACTCGACTATCTGATATTTCATTCCTAACCGCTATCCATTACACTACCCACAAGTTCATAAGAGAGATGGGCCAAAATTAAACAACATAATCAGCGCTGTTCCTCCTAAATTCATTTATAGCGAGAACTACGTGCAGACACCATTAGAAAAACTATACAACAGTACAACGTCACTCAAAATTAATGAACGTATCATTTGTATAGCTTTTGTAATAAATATACCGTTCAATGAATCTATATATTCAAAGTACAACTTATGAGTGAGTTTTATTAAGAAACCTTGTATGACATGACATTTATCAAGTTCAGCATATACTGACAAAATGGTAGGAAGTAAGGAATAGTAATAATCTACTGTTCCAATTTATAAACAACGTTTGTTAGTAGCTTCTTCTTCTTCTTCTTCTTCTTCTTCTTCTATATGCTGTGTTCCTTCAGGACGTTGATTGTGGCACTCCACAATTTCCTATCCTTTGTAGCTCTTGGTAAAGTTTAATTTTTCATCATTTCTCCTACTCCCTGTTCTGTCATCCATTTAAAGTTAGGTTAAGTAGATTACTCACTACTTTCCTTTGTCCCTCTTACCTACTGTGAATGTCAAATTCTTCAAACCCTCTTTCCTCATTATGTGGGCTTGACATTTCAATTGTCTCGTTCTGATTTTAAGGAGATGCACCCATTTTGTTTTCAGTTTCCTTAAAACTTTGTCGTTACACACATATTCACTCCATGAGATTCTTAGCATCCTTCTGTAGAGCCAGATTTGTTAGGTGATTGTCCAGCATTTACTGCCATATAGGTGGACCGATATTACATAAAAGTTCAGCACTCTTTGTCAAATTCAAGTCATTTAGGATTTGATTCTTGCGTTTTTCTTTAACTCTAATATTTCTTTCTTGTTTTGTTGATATAATTTACGTTTATGAGCAGAATTTGTACTATCTGTAACAAAAGATAACCATTCATAAAACTGTTTCTAAACTTGTTAACCATAACAGTGGGATATTCCTAAGATTGAGATAATTTCCATTTGCACTTTAACCCCTTCACAAAAAGTAATAATGATTTGTTTTTGCTTTTTAAATTGAAACATGTCGCATTTGGCTATAAAACAAGTAAATTAAATGTGAATATTATTTGTTTCTAATCGATGCTGAATTAGTTCCTGTTTGAACTTTTGGATTGAGAAATTATAATTCATATTGGCCTCATCTTTACTGTTATTCTCACAACGTTTCGCCCGTAGTGTTCTCTGACCTCCTCCCCCATGTGTCGACCGATAAGAGAATTTCGAACTGAACCAATTATTTATCCTTTTGGCGTAGATTGTTCAAATCAAAGGATATCTAGTCTTTTTTAAGTACTGCCCAGTTATTGTCAGTCCTGTTCCTATTGAGTCCGAATCTGTACAACCCGGTCCAGGGATTGAACTCACAATTACTATACGAGTAAATTCCCGATTCGACGATTGAATCCACTAGGCTATAATCTAGAACTTAAAACATAGAGCCTTGAATCTGATGTCCTTATTGCCTGCCTGCTGCTGCCGTTAGTGATGCTGCTGTTGTTCTTGCTGTGAAGCTTCGCTCTCTCCGCTGCTATGTTTCTATTCTATGTTAAACTAACTTAAATTTATATATAAGTGCACGAAACATTTACGAAAATTTTTGTAGTTCTTATTAATTCTCTAATTTTTTTATTTATTTATTTTATTTTATTTTTTGTTGTTGTTGTTGAATCATTTCACCCAAGTAATGCAGTAATGCCACTAAGATGCAAGGGGTTACTACGGGTGAAAAACAATGAAAAGACCTTAGTGGGGAGAAAGAACAATAAAAGAAAGATTTTCAGGATTGATGTTGCATTTAATTTTTTGAGGATTGTAGGTGGCAGAGAAACAAAAAACTGGAATAGAGTTCCACAGGCGAGAAGTTCGAGAAAATAAATTACTAAAATAGAACTTACGGTTGCATCTAACTATATCAGCAGTTAAACGCTGAGACCTAGTGACTTGTTCGCTTAAATTCTTGTGCTCGTATTATACATAAATATTGAAATTAAATAAAAAAAATTTAGATTAATGTTCTTTGATTTGTGGCTTATTTTAGATTAAATTCAAAATCACAATTTTAAACGAAGTAAATTTTAATACAATTGCTACTCGGTGTCTAAAACATTTATTGGTGACTGTAGTTGCTACATTTGCATTCACATCTCATGCACTAAACTTATCAATTATTACGAGAAAGACTAACATTCATTACCTTGTTTCTTTTCTTTGTTATTTATTTTAGGCTCTTTTCTGTCTGATATATTTTTCCACATTCTTTGTTGCTTCACATTTACTCTTTGTTTTTTCTTTCATTATCGCCCGTTCCCGCTCAGATGTTTTGTTTTTCTTTTTTTTCCCACAATACTTTCTTTCTAAACACTTCGACCAGTTTCTGTATTTTAACTCTTTCTTACTCTAACCCCTACTATCATTCAGTACATTTACTCTCTTTCATACTTAATTTACCGTATTCTTCTTTCTTTCTTTCTTTCTTTCTTTCTTTCTTTCTTTCTTTCTTTCTTTCCTTTTTCTTCTTTCTTTCTTCCCGTTTCTTTCATTTTCTTTCTTTTTTTCCACAATACCTTCTTTCTGAACACTTAGAACAGTTTCTGTATTTTAACTCTTTCTTACTCTACCCCTACTCGCATCCAACCCAGTTACTCTTTTCTTACTTAATTTACCTTCTTCTTCTCCTTCTTCTTCTTCTTCTTCTCCTTCTTCTTCTTCTTCTTATTATTATTATTATTATTATTATTATTATTATTATTATTTCTTTCCTTTTTTTCTTTGTTTCCTTTTTTATTCTTTCTTTTTTCTTTCTACTTTTCTTCTTTCTTTCTTCTTTTGGCTTCTTTTTCATTATTGATTACTTCTTTTGTTTTCTTGTTGTATTTCATCTCATTCTCCTTAAATGTCTGAGGTGATTTCTTCCGTCTTTGCATCCCCAATTCTGTCCAATCGGTTCTCCACTCTCCTTCAAGATGGCTACCCACTATTTTCTTTTTTTTCTTTTATTTTTTTCCCGGCTGTCTATTCACTAACGGTTCTGCTAGCAATACGCAAGTGCAATTCTATTTATTAGATCACGCCTTTAAGCAGAAGAGAAACGTCTCTACCATTCAGAATCACCAGATAACCAGAGTTAAAACAGACAGACAAGAAAGTCTCGCCGATCATGAAAACAAAGCCTTTCGATTGATTTGGCTCCCGGAAATGTAACACAGAAAAGTAATATTCAGCGCGGGTATCTTTATATATCAAATCGTTATCAGGGCTTTCGTTCGCTTGAATTGTGAAAGAATTAAAATGGCCACAAAAGAAATTATATTTTATCTACGTTTTTTAAAAAAATAAAAAGTGCCGTTACAAACTTGTAAAAGAACTTTAATTTTTTAAACAAGTATGCCAAGAGATATTTTTCACCATTATTATCATCATCATCGTCGTCGACGTCGTCGTCATCATCAGTCTAATAACCGGATGTGTTCGTAGGGTCGCTAGGCGACAAACAACAGACCACTTTCCCTCCACATACCTCGACCTAAAGAGGGAGAGATATTCATTCATCCGTAGCGTGTCGTTCACATGTACACCCGATGGATCCCACCCCTCTCTAATGCCAATTGCCGGCCTCTGTTCTGCAACTTTAAGACTCACTTTGGTCATGGACACATAGCCTCTGTCCTGGTCGTTAACTTTTGCTTGGGAAGTCTTCCACTCAGGGATCACTGCAATGACTACATACATAGCTATGTAGCCTAGCCTACATCATTCTGCTAGATCGTCGTTGACATTACAAGAAGGTTCGTCCATTCTTGAACCGGTCTTGCTTTTTATCCTGCTAGATTTCTCGCCACCCTCTTCACCAGAAAAGCCTGGTAGGTGGACCAGTTTAGTCACCGATAACCCGAATATGCAGCAGTTAGTACTACTGGTTTACATGATACCAATGATAACCTGACATATGCATATCTCCATATTACAGATTTTACAAGTTTTTTACGGACAAATTCTCTAGAACACACTTCTCCTTATCTAGTCAATTCATTTCTTAATTAAAGAAAAATGCTTGGTTAATATTGTATATTACAGTCAAAAGAACACGATTTTTAGGAGACCAAACGAAAATCAATTTAATTACAGCAGTAATGGTCTACGTGTCTTATCAGTTAGCCACACATGACTCCTACATTTCCCCGACGTAGATGCATGTACGTGAACCTTATAGACTCTCAAAACCTCACTACGGTAGGTGTTGCTGTTGGAACTTCTATGGCAAGTATTTTTTACAGGGTACAGCTGATAGCGTCGTGTCTAGTCGAGTTTTGGATTCAGATTTATCCTACTCCATGACTGGCTACCAGCCAAGGGTAGAGCAACCCCAAATTTATTGAAACCATATCTGAGAGTAAGGAGAAGAAATTGATTCACGCCTTTCCGAAGGGTATGAGTGTGAAAGTGAACGCAATAAACAAAACCGGAATTTACATTCAATTCACTGATTCCGGTTTCCGTACTAATATCCATAGTTGAACACTTAAAGTGGAATCTGCTAAACTGAGGTAAATGGCACATGTTCTGTATTAAAACTGTCGAATATTCAGACCGGTAAACTGTTTAAAAAATATCCACATTTTTTTTTTTTTTTAAAAAAAGCATCCACTAAATGTAATGCTTAAAGTACCACAATAATGTCGGATTATAAATAAAATCCATTAATTCCTTAGAAATTACTTGACGCTTACGTTTCGGATAGGAAAATAATGTTAACAGATACTGGTTTCGAGGGATCCAGACACGAAATGAGAATTTCTTTGAGATTTGCTTCCTGAGGCTAAGCGGCATAAAGTACACCGGGTTCTAAGGTGATTTCCTCTACTTGAACCCTGCCGGAAAACATTCTCTGTATTAAGACAGTCGAATGCATAGGCCAGTATACGTAAGTTACAAACATTACAAACACACACACACACACACACACACACACACACACACACACACATATATATATATATATATATATATATTATGAAATGGACAAAATCCAGCAATTATTTTAAGACATTTTAGGTTTATACATTCTTTTTATAGATACAAATATTTAGGTAAATGCTTTGTTTATTATAAACTGTATTAAACAACATGTAATAATTTGTCCATTTCATAATGTGTGACGTCATTTGTTTACATTTGATACGCCATTAGCAGATATGAATATACGTGAGAAATTCATGGATGATTGAAGTTTAAAAACAGTAAATTCGACCTTGCTAACCGAAAGATCCTCTGTGGCCGAATCGGTTAAAAGGCACGTTAGGCTATATGACGGTTCCGTATAGGATACAGGTTTGAATCCTGTCGGAGGACGAATATTTTCTATGAAAATTTCCCGGACATTCAGGCCGGTAAATGTTGTTTAATACTGTTTATTATAAACAGAGCATTTACTTAAATATTTGTATCTATAAAAAGAATATATAAACATAAAATGTCTTAATATATATATATTTCAAACATATAATAAATATAGCAGACAATGAATGTATATTTGGATATTTCTTTATTATATTGGCCGTCGTTGATCAAAGCTTTCGGCTCACATGAGCCATCATCAGATTGGTTATATGCCTAATGCAACAGAGATAAAGAAATATTCATTTTTGGGACAGTTTTTATCTTGAAACTAAAGCCATTATACGACGCCTAGAAAGGCTCATGATAAAATATAATAGACATTTTTGTTCTATTTAATATATATTTGTTTGAACAATGATCTGCTGCCACAAAACAATATATATATATATATATCCTTGGTAGTGAAGAATGCATTTTTTTTATCCTGCTGTAGTGATGTGCTTGAGCCTGCAAGACTCTCAGCCGTATTTTTGCTGTTATTAAACGGTTTAATTGCTATTTTTACTGAACGCTGTTTTAACATTTTGGAACTACTTTAGTCTGTCTCAAGAGAATATCATCGTAACAATTATGGCGATAACAAAGTCGATACATCATGGGACAGGAAAAATAGGAACTCAGGAAAACCTCGAACAGGAATTAAAATCGTGTACCGGAGTGTACGTGGAGGAAGGGTTAAAGCTGCCGTGATCCTCGCCTAGATGGAGTCTACGAAAAGACTAGAGAAAACGCTGAGGACTTGAGGCAATTTGCTGTCAATTGTTCCCCTGCCACTGCCACCAGACACCTGGTGTGAATATACATGACAAATAAGAAAAATGAAAAGAAATAATGGCTTCTAAAATTAGCAATAATATAACAATTTGCATTATCGTTATTTTTAAGAATTATAATTATATTCGCAATTAAGACTTCTTTTCCGTTTTTATTTTCTTTAAATGTTTTTTCAAGATTCCTTCCCCGCTGAAATTATAAAGCATTTCCGTGCTTTCTGAAGAGAGCATCATGCCCAGGGTAGACTTGACTTCTCAAATTTCTCTATCAGACCAACAACTGAGCGGAAGACAATGAGAAGAGGCTCTCCACGCTCATTTCTCATTTTCTTTCCCTTTAAGGTCACAAGCGTTTCTTCGCTGAATCGTCTGCCTCACTGAAATATTGCTTTTCCTACTTAATCGTTTCCATTGGTTTTCTTTATTTTTTTTTCTTGCTTTCATTTTATTAAATTAGAATCGCACGAAAATTCGCTTTGAAAATCTAAAAATTTGCATTTTTAATTTTTCAATTATTATCCACTTTTTTGACGAAAAATAAAAAAAATACACTTAAGAATTCTTTATTTAGATCAATTGTTATTGCTAACGTTTTAAATTACATTTTTACATTAGAAGTTTTTTTTTTTTTACGGTTAATTTAAATTAGTAATTTATTTATTGCTGTTGTTGTGGAGAAATAATGACGATACCGTTTGTTTAATCATTGTTTATTTGCATTTCATTATCATTATTATAATTGTCTTATGTGCCATTGGCATAAGGGCTATCAGCGCCGAAAATGGATTTGGAAGATAAGTTCAAATTCCGACCGAAGCTGTTTGCATTCAACTCGAACAACTACCTTTGAAAAAAGCAATTAAGCTATGGATAAAATAATAGGACAAAAGTGACATGGACGATAGACATGGACATCGAGAGATGGGAAGACGTCACCAACGATCTCATACGCTGGAGACACGATTTACACCGAGAACCGGGGTGAAGAGAGGAGAAAAGAAGGCTTGCTGCCGGGGAGAAGCGTACTTAGCGGAAAGGAAACAACAAAGCGAAATCGGGAGAGAGTGTCTTCACATGCATTCATTGCAATGGAGACTGTCACTCTCGTGTGGGCCTGTACAGCCATAACAGATGCTGCACCGCCATCAGCAGCTGAGGCATAACTCTTTGGGCCGCAGATCCAAGGTTTTTCGAGAATGCTCCTTAGAACTAACATCATCCATAACTCATAACTCTCCCAAGCGAAGTCAGTGATTCTATTACATCCATTATGACTAATTTACTTTCTATAATAGCAATTGTATAGAATAGGATTGTTATTCTTCGTATAATATCAGATCATTTAATATACGCCTATTGTGTTCTTGGTGGTTTTTAAGCTTTATTGACTGTGGACGTGTGAGAGAGCGTAAAGTTTAATAGTGCTGATAATGGTAATCAGAAATGCAAGATCCGAGACTGAATGTGCCCTGATATTCTAAATTGGAACTATTGAATCAATTGTTAAGTCTGCTGCTAAGAAGATTTGTTCATTGTGTCGTTCATTTTGCACATTTATAAATCTACCATTCGTCTGTGCATTGAATATTACTGCTATATCTGGTCTGGTGCTCTGTCTATATATCACAAAATTCTCGACAAAATCCAAAGAAGGGTCTGTAATGTTATCGGTCCTGACCTGGCATCTCGACTTTCCCGTTGCCGTGACGCGGCTTCGCTCTGCCTTTTCTCGGCAG